GGCCGACGAGAGATACAACGCGCTCCTTTCTCTCGCGGTGATCGCGTCAGGTCGAATTCAATCCTGGATCAGCCTGGGTGTTCAGCTCGCAGCCGATCCGGGAGGATATAGAGAAAATATTGTAATTTATTGTAATCACATTTCGTTTGTTCTAACAATTACGCGAGTCATCTTTTTTTTTTATCGCGTATATTCGCGTGTAAATTCTGTTACGTCGCGATGCCGCGGTGGTTTTTTCTCGCTTCGGGATTTTTTCTGGCCCGTCTAATGCACGCCGGACGCTAATACCTCGAACAAAACAACAGGAGGAGACGCGGGATCGATAGCCGCCAGAGTGACTTGCCAGATTAAGCTCGTTACTCGGTATCGCGAATTATTCTTGCCGGGCGTTTGCAAACTATCAAGGATCAATACTGCTCGCGCGCATAGTTCTAATGCAACTTGCCAGAAGTTTCGGGGGGAATCAAACGTAAAGCCCGTACACCGATACCACGGAGAGCGAGACAGAGAGGGTGAAAGAGGGAGAGCGAAAGGGAGAGGGTGCATACAGCGTTAATCCGACCATAGAAACTCGAATCCGCCACTCGATATGGAATAAAGCGCGAGCTTTTGTCTCCCGCTTCTCGGCGCCGCTCGTATAAACGTCGCACCCGTTTGAGACCCGACGTCAACAATCGGTTACCCTTCCACCGTACGTCATCTGGATGAGTGGCTGGATATTCGACTGTCAAACTGAGTTACCGAACTATGGTCCGACAATTTTTAATCGGGAATACAGGACGGATAAAAGAAAATCCGCGGAGAATTGCAATTTTTCGCCGACCTTTTGCATACAACCGCGGTATCGAGTTTTCACATTGTTAAACCGCACGCGTTATCTGTATCATCGAAGACAAATAGGGCTTGGAAATATATTCGATAGTTTTGGAGAACCGTCCCATTTGTGTCTTGTTTTCCGCTCCGTCAAATCGATGATAATGGAATTAATTGTGATTAATATATGCATTTTATGACGTGGAGATTAATTTTCTCTTAGAATTTATCCGGAAAATTATCGTGGGATAATATTGGAAGAATTTGATAAAAGTTTCTCTGATTAATCTTTACCACGATAAAAAATATTAATATAATAAATTAATTAATATAATTATATTAATATAATTAATATAATAAATGTGTATAGAATAAAATTAATCGAACATATTTTATAGCTTATTGTGGTAGATATTAATATTTTTATTGTGAAAAAAAATATTAATCAGAAAAATTCTTCCCATTTCTCTCTGTATATGATTCATTAAATTATGATAAATATGCATTTTTTAAATGACACGATCTTTAAATTCTTTTATGAAGTTTTATAGACAATATATATTTATATAAAATATATAGACAATTCTCGTAAGAGAAAAAGTGCAGCTGCACGGGGAGAATTTTCTCTTAGAATTCACCCTGAAAATCATGATAATTTTATAAAAGTTTCTTCGATCAATATTTTTACTACAATAAATTTTATATCTTATTCTGGTACAAATATTAATATTTTTTATTGTGGTAAAAAAAGATATTAATAAGAGAAATTCTTATAAAATTTTATAGACAATATATTTATATAAAATATACAGATAATTCCAAGTCGCGGAGCTACGATAACAAAACTTTGTACCAACCATCAAAAATTGATTCCCATCATAAGTACATCGAGATCCACTTTTTCGCGCCTATCGAGTTTCATCATCAAGCGATCGTCGGATGACTTCCGCCGATCGTCTCTTGCTCGCCGGAAATCGGAAAGCCGCGCGCACGAGAGAGAGAGAGAGGAAGAAGTTTCTCATTCCGGGCAGAGGAAGGGAAGGTTTACCAAGATCGCGAGTACCTGTAGGGGGATGCAGCGGAGTCGCTTTTCCTGGAATTCGTGACGATCGCGAGTCCAGGCACGCGTGGGTTCGCGCGACGCGCCGCATCGCCAATAAAGTTTCGTGGGTTAACGCGGCGCGGGTACGCTCGATCTACCAAGGCCGATAACTCGATTCCCCATCGATCTCGGGTGGAAGGACGGTGTCGTTTTCCGCAGGGAGAGCCTTCCGAGCTTCCGCGGGATTCAATTTGCTATTCTTCCCCGCGATCCCTCCGGTTCCCTCATCGACGATGCTGACGACGACGACGACGCAGCTTCTTCGGGGAACAAATGAACGAACGAACGAACGCGGTTAGATGCATCCGTCACGAGGGTGTGGGCTATCCGGAGGATCCGTCGCAAGTAGCTTTAACCGAGTTGCTCTCCGAAGGCTTTCCGCGAATGGAATTACGAGCTTACGCGAGAAGACGAACGCGAGGTTCTTCTCGTACGAAAATATCGGGACGTATCTTCTAGGTAAGAAAGATGAGTCACTCGAATAACGCGACGAATTTTCAAGGCGGCGAATTTTTCATTAATTCTTTTAAATATTTTTTATTTTTTTCTCTTTCGTCAAGGGGATCCTAAACGCCGGCCTTTTATCGATAAAATATGATTTGTGCGCGCCCCTTTTTTATTAGTTGAATAGAATAAATGCTTGAAATAAAAAAAATTTTAACATAAAATCGGTATAGATTCTATATGTACTTTAATCATGAAAAAGCATCTATTAATCTATTCAACCGATAAAAAGAAAAAGGTATAAAATAGGATTCTTATAGGCCTGTTTCTACCAACGTCGATTAAATTAAACCTCCGGTTAAACTATATGTTTGTCTCTTTTTAAGAATTTATTTGAAAAGAGACAAAGATATGGTTCAACTGGAAGTTCAATTTAATCGACGTTCGTAGAAATAGGCCTTAGATAGACAGCAATCACGTAATGATTGCAGGCGATAAATCGTCGCAATTTTCGCGATTGTTTGTTTTTAGCTACAGATAAAACATTGAAAAATTCTCCTCCATAAATAAAGTACTGATAATAATTTCGCATAAAAAAACAATACAAATTAAAAAGTTACAGTTTTTCTCGGCCATTTGCATCAGCTCATAAAAATACGTATTTAATACAAAAGTTCCGCAGTTTATTTGTGCACAAAATATGGCGCGCCCAATAGAGATGACATGAAAGAATTCATTATTACCAATACTTTCATTGTAGAGAATTTCACAATCTGTATATTCAATAAAAAGTGAACCTCACCTAATTTAAAGTCGGTAAAACAGAACAACGAGGGAGACGCGGTTTATACAGAGTAATGTTTAAATCTATCCAAAAGAGAGGGGTTGGGGCTGTTGCGCCGGAGAAACGCGATGGATGGTGATAATGCAAGTTTACGCGACGTCACGGTGTGTGGGGTCTTAAGCCGGGCTTCGCGAATCACATATTTTGCGGGACGGCGGCGGCTTTTGTGCGACGCGGGAATCGCGGCGCTTGCCGCAACGCCTGGCGTGAATAGGATTTTCGCCGACAATGCCGCGACGACTCTACGACGACGGGAGCGAAACTCGATATCGTTCGCAAAGTCACTTGCGCCGCGCGAATTTCCGCGAAGAATACGTGTCTGACTCATCATCGCGCAGCGTGTGTTTACGATGCGACGTAAAATAGGCGCGGTCTCTAACATCGGCAGGTGCATTCTGCGAATGCGCGTAATTAACTCGAGGAGACGCGATTCGATATATATATATCGAGTATCTAATTACCCTACGCGTCATTTCTCGTTTCGCATGCGCGTGTTTCTGGCTAATCTTCCCTCGCTTGAAGGGCGCGATTTTTTTCCAGGTGTGGTGCATATAATTATTTTTTATTTAATTTTTTATATTAAATATGCAAATAAATTCCAATGTTTATTCAAAAGGAGAGTAAATGAATTTTTGGAATTTTTTTTCCAAATAGGGAGAGGATAAATGCTCGTATACAGAAAAAAATTCTTTCCGAGAAGAATATTATAATATTGGGAAAATTTTATAAGAGTTTCTTTGATTTTAATATTTTTTTTAACACAATAAAAAATATTAATATCTACACAATAAAATATAAAATATGTTGATTAATTTTACCATGTACCATGTGTGTGGTAAATGATAAAAATGAATGACGATTCCCATGATTTTCAGGATTTAAATTCGAAGAGAAAATTCCGTCCGCGACACCCATCCACGCGACCTTTCCGAATGATTGATTAAATTCACGTAACGCGATATTGTCCGCTGTCGTTTATCGATAATATCGTCGTTGCCTCGATACACGTACGACGACCTAATAGTCGCTCTAAATCTTATTATATACAAAGGAATCCCGTCCTTCTCCTTCGAGGGCGCGTGCTCCTTATTCCACTCGGCGTCCTCGAAAATGACATATTTCGAGAAGCCCTTTCTCCAGTACAGTTCTAAGGCAGTCAATAGACACAAGACAATACCGAGGAGCGCATAATCCGGGAATGGTTCCTGCATTTTGAAGTCGGATACACAGGGAAGAGAGAGAGAGAGAGAGAGAGAGGGATGATATTGCGCACGCGACATTATTACTCCGCCTTTATTGCAGATCTCTCTCGACCTCTTCATACATCTCTCTCTCTCTCTCTTTCACATGAGCACGCCGTAACGATATTGACGCCAATCTTGCCTCGCTAACCTCTTGTTATCCCCGCAGATTACACGTAAAACCGCGTCCATGATAACATTACACGCCTTGCGTAATATTGCTCCTATATCGAGTACGACTTTCAATAATGTGTCGGCATACGGCGCCGTTTTGAGGATAATCAGCAGCTTACGCCAAGCTGAACTCGGCCAATTTGGACAGGTCTCAAATTTCTAACACTATTTAATTTATTCTTTTTTATTATTCTTTCTAAATTTTTAAATTCAATTTTTATTATTTTAAATATTTTATATTAAATAAAATTTCAAATAAATTCGAAATTTTTTTGTTCATTCACAAGGAGAGCAACTTTTGATTCCAAGAAGGGGACAAATGCACGGTCTTTTTTATCTACTATAAATTCGTTAAATACATAAATGCAAGAATGCAACATACCTTTCTGCTTGTTCAAGATCAATCGAGTCGCCTCGTCGATTTTATTTTCGGGATCGAGGGGCATCAGAGATTTCTCGTTGGCTCTCAGGAAACTTTCGCATTCTTCCCTTCTTTGTCGAAGCTCCTGCCTGTAACAATAAAAAAAACATGTAAATAAATAATATAATATATGATATTTTAAATCGGCCAATAGAGCCCAAGCGCGAAAATTAATTCTTCGGAACTGTATCTCTTGGTTTGAGATTACTAAGTTCCATCTATAAATTAATCTCGAACTTACATATGGAGAAAATAGGCGAGAAAAATATAGGTCCAAAGAATAATTTTCGCGCTTGGGTTCTATTGGCCGATTTAAAATATCATATATTATTCTTAAGATTGAGAGCCGATAATAGTATATTGTGTATCAAGTGCGGAAAGTTGACAATTGGTCACGAGTGCGGGGATGAACGCACAAGTCGAAAGCGAGTGCGACCATCTGAACAATTCTCAATTCGCACATGATACACATACTATTTTGTATTACAAGTGCAGGCAAAGTGGCTTTGTGCGCGTTTTCTGTGCGCGAGGTGGCCGATCGCACGCCGCCATCTTGCGGCGGCACGGTGCGGGAATAGCCGTGTTCAATACATTGCCTACGGCTTCAGCCGTGGACAATGACTTTGAACGCGGCTCAGTCGTAGGCAATGGCTTTGAATGCGGTTTATTCACTCACCGCGTCGCCGCTAGATGGCGACGTGAGAAATCGGCCGCTTTCCGCACAGAAAACACGCACACAAAGTGCCACTTTGCCTGCACATGTAATACAAAAATATTTCTCATTTGATTAAATAATATAAATTGAGATCCAATAATGATCATTTACTGCTTCTACATTTCTACATCTACATCTTCACCGCCCTCGCTGTTTTATCTCATTAGCCGAGTTTAGAGGGTCTCTCCCCCGCATGGCTCTGTATTGTAATTAGCGAAACATTTGCAAGTCATTTATAACGTACGGTGAGAAGGCGCAAGAGCGTTATGAATATTCCACGTACGTCGCAGATAGGGCGATATGTACTTCCGGAATAAACACTCGCCAAACCTCCCTTTCTCGACGAGAGCTTCAAATTACTATCTTCTCGAGTTTCACGAAGTAGACGCAAATACTACAGAGTTTCGCGACTACCAGAGAGATATCCTCTCCTTCCGATGTACGCGCAATACATATTCGGTGTGTAGCAATCTATAGGATAGAATGTTTGATGTGACGTAAGCGCACTATTGATACAAAGATCGCGCATATACATATGCATATTTATTCAAGATCGATATATAGAATGAGAGACAGAGACTTGAGAGATATGTATATGTGTACGCAGTATTCATAATTGAAAAGCGCTTCACGGAAAAGTATTGTAAATTCATCGGATGCGCGATGCTTTATTCGCTGGAAAAATAAAACTGCGCGAGCAGTTTAAAATATTGAATACATTTTTAAATATGCTCGAAACTCGACGAAATCTCTCGGAATAAAATATTAATAATAAGAAATACATAAAAATATTTAAAAATTTTATATTTTGCAAAAAAAAGGTAGATGTAAGCGACTTTTGTCGGATACGCAAAATCTGAAATCTTTTTCCGACGCGGACAATTTTTAATTATTGTTATTAAAGAAAAATCGCGCGTATCTCCCGTTCGCGAAACTGCAACTTCCTGCTGCGTATACGTAAATTTCTTGCAAACCGAAGAGGAACGATATAAATCATGTAGTTTCGCAATAAGAACAAAAAATACAATAAAAGAAGAAAAAAAAGAATGTAGCGTAACAGAGGGAAAGTCGGTTAGAAATTACAATATTCATTTCGATAAAAGGAAGTGGCACGCTATTCTCTGCGTCCAAGGATAATTTATTATCTCGATGCTCAGAAAATTATCTCGCTTTTGCACTACGGGTATTATTTCGCTGCAGATAACACTGATAAATATATATCTATGATATATAATAATGATGGTACAAAACCTGTCAACACACTAACCCGTCCAATTAAGACCTGATACTACCAATAATTAGTGACATCGTTATTTTATAATAGTGCTATTTAGCTAGTTCGCGAAAATAGACTGACAAAGAAAATCGGGAGTAATCAAAGTTGTTGATTGGTAAACCAGACGAAAGATAATTTTAAATGAAAAATTATAAAAGATGTGAATATATATATATATCAGTCTCTCATAATTCGTCTAAGAGTCTTGACGTGTCAAACCGACACTATATTCGTTCTTGACATCTTAAAATTATAATTTAATTTTATTTTCACAAATCACTTGATAAGGACTCAAAGAAGGGTCGAAACGTTGTGATTTAATAAATAATATTTGCCAGTACGGTCGAGAGAAGAGTTTTACTTTTTAAATTCTGTCTGGCGATTCTCAAATATCTACATAATATATATATATATAATTCACGTAATACTAGCTGTGCGACCAAAGCTTGGTAGCTGTGCTACTTTATCACTGGAAATCCATTATATTGTTCCACTTTTGAGTCTCCGTTAAAACCTCTCCTAAATTTCCTCTCTTCTGAAATCTATATTCTTGACTAAAAAGAATTTTCTTTTCTAAAATTTATTCAGTGTTTTAAATGTAGGAAACACATATATATGCACAAATGTAATATAAAACGCACTGAAAAAAATCCATGTATCTTTACATGGAAATTTACTAGTTCAGAATTGGAAAAGTTACTTGCACTGTAAGTTTTTCCATTTGTTTTAAAGTAAAAATACATATTAATGTCAAAATAAAAAATTATATATAATTTTAAATTTACTATTTTTACTTTATTAGAACTTTATTTATCTATTTTATTTATAACACATTATTTTATAGCATTTATATACATTACTAACATTTCCTATGTGTAATTCCATGTTCAGTGAAATATTTATAATCTTGAAAATATTTAAGAATATATTCCATACGAAATTACATATAATCTGTAATCTTTCATATATAAGTATCAATATTGCATGATAATGCTGGGCCGAAAAACTTGTTAGCTTAATCATGTGATTTTACATAAATATTATTTTCAATGCGGGATAATAAATATGCATAAAAAAAATGTGCTGGCGATCATATATCCAAATAAAAAGTTTTTCTTTTAACATAAGAGAGACGCGCGATTCAACCGACGACGAAAGGGATCAATCTATTATATATTTCAGATTTTTTTGTTATAAAACTGTTTTTCGCGCGCGCGGGATGCACTGACGAATGGGCACCGATGATATCCACCCCGGGGGCGGATCTGGTATCAAATATTATCCATTATTAAACACTACACGCAGAGAGCAACAGGCCCATAGCAGCGCGCGTCCGTCAATTTTTCAATATTTTCTGGCTCCGAACGTCAGAGCGCACCGTCACTCATCCCACTATTGTAACGATGGTGTATGTCGGGATAAATTCGCGCGTTACCTTTGTGATATACAGCGCGATACGATACGACACGATATATCATTCATTCGCCCGTGTGGATTCCCTGGTGTCGCGTGTCGGATTTTAAGCGTATCGCTTTTAGTTAATAATAATTACAGAAAATACATATAATCGGGCCATGTGGCCCCGATCGACATTGTCATCCTCGGATGTATTTCTGTAATCGAGTAATTCTGTCTGAAATTCTCTAAATTATATTATATAACACAATATAAACTATAATTACATGCAATATAAATATTACATAATATTATGTATAATATAAATAAATCTGAAATGAAATAAAAATTAAATGGTGGTACAATTGCACCGCCTAGATCTGAAAATACTAGCAATGTAAATGTTCCAACAATTGCTCGTTAAAATAATCAATAGCGCGAGTTGTAATTTTTTTTTGTCCGAAAAACCATTGAAATGTCAAAGGAGCGCGCTCTGATTTTCCGGCTCGTTGCAGTGACGTAATATCGGCGATTTGGGGATAAATATCGTCGGTACACGCCGACATTTCGGCGTCCATCTATATTGTGAGCAAATAAACCGGAGAGAGAGAGAAGGGAGTAGAATTTTTTTACATCACGCGCGAGAGAAAGAACGGAGCATTTCGCGATTTTTGCGGCCGATATGGAGGAGAAACACGGCGTGGCTCTATTTTTCCTATAAATTGAATTCGGCGCACGTTAAATATTATCGGTTATTAAAAGAGTCGTTCTTCACGTGTATGCGTGCGTGCGCACGATCTGTCGATATTTTTCTGCTCCATGAGCACTCACTTTGGAAATTTCTGTCTCTCTCTCTCTCTGTCTCTTCATCGTCTCCCTGTCTACCCTCCTGCTTTGCCTGGGTTAATTCCGGGGTTACTCGGTAGGGAAGGTCGGCGGTGTCGGCTTCCAGATCATAGCCATGCAATATATAGATCCGGAGCGACATATCGATCGATGTGGACGGGAGCGGAATAATAATTTGCACTGTTATTGCGAACCTATCGGGCAAAATCAAACCGGGCCGGCACTCTCTCGTCCTCCTATTCTCTCTTTCTGATACTATATCCCGAGAGCAAGAGAGAGAAAGAGCCAGTCTCCCACTTCCAGCACTCTCCTCTTGTTCATTATCGCCATCCTTCGCTTTTTCGGTTCCGACCGTTCTCTCCGCCTTTCGTTCTTTTGAAGGTAGAGTAAATGCTTTTATTGATTCCTTCTCTTTCTCTCTCTTTGTCACTCACTCCTTGTCCTTTTCCGCACTCGTCTCGGCACGTACACACGTTAGGCCGCACGCTTTGTTCGGCGGACGAGTGGAGCTGCTACGAATATGCGAATGACAAGTATGGCAATCGATTGGAACTCATCGCCAAAGACGCTTCGCGTCGATAGAAAAATACTCTCGACGTATATTTGCCTTCGCGCCATAATGGCTTCGTCGTCGTGTAGACGTAATGGAATTCTCGGGACAATCGCAAACGAGAGACAATCCCGCATAATCCCGCATTCGATTTCGTTCAATATATCCCGAGCGAACTATAAATATTAAATCATTAATTTTGAAAAGACATTTTCAGGGTGTCCTGCGAGTCGATGACGAAAATTACCTGACCTTTTCAAATTTTCCAAGAGCAGAAGTTTATTTTTTCCAAATATATGAATTTACG